TATGACCTGCCATGACAACAGCTTCATGGGAATTAGAAAGCGCCATGTGGCTGGGCTCAGTGGCTCAGTCTATAACCCCAGTCCTTTGGGAGGCCAAGGCGAGTGGATTGCCTGAGCCCACAGGTCTGAGACCCACCCTAGCAACTTGGTGAGACCTCATCTCTACAACAAATCAAAAATTAGCCGGGCATGGTAGTGCGTGCCTATAGTTCCGGCTACTCGGAAGGCTGAGACAGGATTGCTGGAGCCCAGCAGGTAGAGGCTGTGGTGGTCGGGAGCGGCCACTGCACTCCAGTCTGGGAGACAGAGTGAGACTCCAACTCAAAACAAAAAACAACAAAAAAAAAAACAAAGAACATGGCATATACAGACCACCACTATTAAAAAATACAAAATCAGCTGGGTGCAGTGGCTCACAGTTATAATACCAGCACTTTGAGAGGCCAAAGCAGGAGGATTGCTTGAGCCCAGGAGTTTGAGACCAGCCTGGGCAACACAACAAGACCCAGTCTCTACAAAAAAAAATAAAGAAATTAGCTAGGCATGGTGGCATATGCCTGTAGTTCCCACTACTCAGGAGGCTGCAGCAGGAGGATTGCTTGAGCCCAGGAGTTCTAGGCTGCAGTGAGCCATGATTGTGCCACTGCACTCCAGCCTGGTGACAGTGAGATTCCAATTCAAAGCAAACAAAAAAAGATCATGGACACTGATGCTTCTCTACCTTCTCAGCCACATACACTAAGAAATTACAATTCTTGCTGGGCTCGGTGGCTCAGCCTGTAATCCCGCGCCTTGGGGAGGCTGAGGTGAGTGGATTGCCTGAGCCCGGGTTCCAGACCCGCCTGGGCAACTTGGCAAGACCTCATCTCTACAATAAATCAAAACTCAGCTGGGCGTGGTAGCGCGTGCCTGTAGTTCCAGCTACTTGGAAGGCTGAGGCAGAAGGATCGCCGAAGCCCAGCAGGTTGAGGCTGCAGCGGCCGGGAGCGGCCACTGCACTCCAGTCCGGGCGACAGAGTGAGACTCCAACTCAAAAAAAAAAAAAAATTACAATTCTCAGCTGGGCACGGTGGCACTTTGGGAGGCTGAGGCGAGAGTATTACCTGAACTCAGGGGTTCGACACCAGCCTGGACAACTTGGTGAGACCTCATCTCTACAACAAATCAAAAAAATAAGCCAAGCATGGTAGTGCGCACCTATGGTTCCAGCTACTTGGAAGGCTGAGGTGGAAGGATCGCCTGAGCCCAGCAGGTGGAGGCTGCAGTGGCCATGAGCGTGCCACTGCAGCACTCCAGCCTAGTCGACAAACTGAGACTCCAACTAAAAAAAAAAAAAAATGAAGTCTATTGACACTGGAAAAACATTCCTAGACACAAAGACTGGATGGACTTAGACCTGGGGGCCCATTCTTCTGACAGGGCTATTGTTTTGGGGTGTCCAGATATACATCATCTGTTATAGAGACCCTGAAGCCCAAGCCCCCTCGATTTTATTCTCCAAGGCTTCCTGAAGAACAACACAGTTGCTAAAATGTTGCTATGAGCCAGGCTCAGTGGCTCAGCCTGTAATCCAGCGCCTTCGGGAGGCTGAGGTGAGTGGATTGCCTGAGCCCGCGGGTTCGAGACCCGCCTGGGCAGCAAACCTCATCTCTGCAATAAATTAAAAAAATCAGCCAGGCATGGTAGCACATGCCTGTAATTCCGGCTACTCGGAAGGCTGAGGCGGAAGGATTGCTGGAACCCAGCAGGCGAGGCTGCGGTGGCAGGAAGCGGCCACTGCACTCCAGTCTGGGCAACCGAGTGAGACTCCAACTCAAAAAAAAAAAAAAAAAATGTTGATATGACAACTCCAAATCAACTGAGCCTCAGTAAAAAGGGGAAGAACTCCAGGCCAAGGGTTCAGAAGAGACAATGAGGGAGGAATCGATCTACAAGTACCTGCCTTAGAACCCTAATACCCAGCAAGAGGACAAGTAAGACAAAGGGCTGAGCAGACAGATACCTCCAGAAAGAAACAGCTAACCAGAACAAGCAATAAGATCATCCCAACACGGAAGGGTCAAGATTTTTGTAAACTCTTCCCCCACAGGGTCCTTCAAACCTTTTGCTATCCAAAGAAAATCTTCATCAGATAAGCCTTGGAAAGTCCGTGTCCAAGGAAAATGTTAACAAGAACAACAATAACAACAACAAAAAAAGGAACAGAAAGTGAAACTGTCCAGGGGAAGTAACGCTGCAAGGAGATCCCGGTCCCTTAAGGGAAGTGGCACTAGTTCTGGGACCACCTACGTCTCCATCTCAACCCGATGAAGAGATGCCCCTCCGAGGCTTGCCGCGCCGACTGCAGGAGGAGGCAATGAAAGAGAGCGCAGGGTACAGAAGGCATCTCCATTGGCCACAGCTGTCAGCCAGGAGCAGCCTCTGAGGACACCCAGCAACCGGGTCAGGCTACGTATCCAAATCTCAGTTGGACATCCGGAAGCGCTTTCCGAGCATCAGGGGTCGGTGACACGGAACCGGGATGGGGTGGTGTGGCGTGCACGCTCAGGCAACGAGGGCCCAGTAAAAGCCCCTGCTAAATCTGTACACAAAGGGGGGAAAAATCAAGCATCGAAACAAGGCTGGCGCCTGGATCGCGCTCGAGGATGAGGCGCCTCTCGCCAGGCCCTCCAGAGTGGGTCTCACGGAGCCGAGCGCCCGCCAGGCGCGAGCCCGGCAGCCCGCACCGTGACCAGCCAGCCCCGCCGCACTCACTCCGCGCCGCGGCTCCTCCGCAGAGGCAGGAGAGGCGGCGAGGGCGCGGGGGCCTGGTGCGCGCAGCTGCGGCCCGCGGCGAGACAGCGCAGGAGGGCTGGGACCTGCACGCTGGGGGCTGGGAGCGAGTTCGGCCCACAAAGCGGGCTGCAGATAAAGAACCTGGCACGGCCCCCTCCCGCAAAACAAAGGCTTCCTCCCCTGGGGTCCCCGCAGAACCCAGGCTTCCTCCCCAGGCATCAAGGCTGCCCTGCCTGGCCGGGCCACCCAGGCTCCAGACTCTCGTCCGTCCTACACTCACCGGCCAAGGCCGCGCCAGCTGCTGATTCTCCCCGTCTGGGCTCTCCCTCTCCCGACCTGGGCAGCTCCATAGACAGCTGCTCATGCGCACTTCCAGCCTGCGGCCATGTTGGTGAGGGGCGGAAGTGTTCCTCTGGACCGCCCAGTCGACTCACGGACGCGGGGCCGCCCCGCTTCCGTTCGCTTCCCCTTGATGAGGGCTGAGGGGTGCCGGGTGTGTGGCCGTCGCTGAGTCCGGAAAGACGCAACGTTCTGAAGAATGTAGCTGAGGTTCTAGCCGCTTTCGGCAAGTCAGGGCAAAGACGACTACTTTCTACTGCCATCTTCGTGCTGGACAGGGCCTTTCCAGTCCCAGAAAAAAGGACTGAAGGAGACCAGATGGAATGGAGGGAGGGACGCGCGAGGGTGGCGCCATCTTTAACTAGGGCTGGTTGGGAGGCCATCTTGGATCAGGGCATCTTTTTTAGAGGGTTTCCTTCTAGAGATTAGGATATATCAGGGTGTAGTAGATGTGGGTATACACCTTGATGTCAGCATCAGCAATCACTTACCCGAAGGCCCAGGGTTTCTGGTTTTTCTGCGGTTATTCCCATTCTCAATCAGGATCTACTAGTAATGGATTTGGAGTAGTGTGGTATAATGGGAAGAATTCAAGCCGGGCTCGGTGGCTCAGCCTGTAATCCCGTGCCTTTGGGAGGCTGAGGTG